ACTGTGTGTGTTGGGGGAGGGGGAGAGCAATTTAATATATTGGTATGTTTTTGTACCTTGAAGTTCTGGGTAGAGTCTAAAATATTGGCATTAATTTCTAATGTAGACTAGATGCTCCTGTAGTTTTAAAGGAAGACCCTTCTAATGGCTGTCGCTTCTCTCAATCATCAGTTGCCTTACCTGCTGTAGTGCATGCATGTGTGCATGTGTGGACACTTGCACGCTCCATGTATTTGTGAAAAATTGTACATGGTCTGAGTCTTACCAAAATTTGGAACCTGTTGCATTGAAAAGGTAACATATGCTCATTTGTTTGCTAAATAAAGAAGGCCTTGGACGAGTATCCACTGATACAGTTTTTATCTGATCTTCATTTTTTCTCTCTGCATTTGCAACATTGATATGTGTTTCTGTCGCAGTTCATTTGGGAAGCTTGCTTGTGGCTGTTTTAATACCAGTCTTGGTTGAACTGCACCGACTTCAGTAGTTGTGGAATCTTTTCTTGAGCTTTGGAAATAAAGTTCTAAAAAAAGCCTGGCACAAAGAGTTTTTGAACCTACCGCACTCCTGCACTGATCAAGCAATAACTGCTCTGTGAACTGCCTGGAACCCATGGAGCGTATGGGATTGGGGATCCGTGAGCTAAAGTAAACTGAGAGGGACTGGGCATCAAATTGTGTTCATAGGAGGCCATGGGAGACTTCTGAACAAATACATGGCTTTCCAATCTGTGCCAGGGTAGGAGAGCTGCGAGTGGTGGCCCAGAAGACATGATAGGTGGTGTCCCCCTCTATCAGGACTAAGACAGCTCCCCACCATGGTGCTGGGTTGGGGAGCAGAGGTGCAGTTTTGTGGATGAGATGAAATATAAAACTGAGGAGCTCTGTTGTGGTCACAAACACCCTCTGACAAGCTATCTTGCAACCTCAAAATAAACTGGTAACGAAGGCTGGCCACATGCCAGCTGGGTAATTGCATTCTGTCTGAACTCTTCTGCAGTTTCCATTGGACATTGATGTTTCACTTCCTGTCCTAAATTTCCTGATCGCATAATGGTGTGCAGTTAGAATGGCTCTTTTTCACCTTGGAGGTGCCTGTTTATCAGTGCCAGGGGAAATTCTCTGTGATGTCTCTCTTCTCTTCTCCCAGGTTTATTTCTCGGCCTCTTGAAGGCTCAGATCAAGCGAACTGTAGAGATTTCACACAACCTGGCTCCGGGCCCACTTGAAATCGCTGCCAGTCCTTCATGAGACTTGTCTTTTGCAGAGTTCACACTTTTAAAAGCCCGGGACCTTAGGAATGCAAAGAGAACTTCCCAGGTGGAAACAAAGGATTGGCGGGTCTGAAGTTGCTGCCCTGGCTTGTTGAGGCCTTATTCAAGTCAGAGAGTTGTGAGCCCCCTTACAGGTCTCGCTGAAGTGTGACCGACCTCCGAAGCCCAGTGAGGAGTCAGATTATCAGGTAATTCAGGTGCACAGCCACCTTGCCTTGTGCTGAGCCAGAAGTCAGCAGGTGCCGTCACCAAGCCAGTAGAGCCGGCACACAGCCATGTGCTTTGAACCTCTCCACGTCACAGCCTGACCTGTGCCCTGGGAGGGGCTCTGATGGCTGAGGGGACTGCAGCAGACAATGTGGGAGGATCTGTGTGTGCCTTTGGGTGGTCACCAGACAGTGGCAGAAGTCTGGCTGCACTTGGCCTAGGTGACTTAGCTCCCTCAGGGCCTCTGAGTGCTTGCAGACCTGCTAGCAGAATTTTGCAGTGCGGACTGAGTCTGGCACTCATTTGGCACCACCATGGCACTTGTATGTGAAAGCTAGGTACTTTTCCATGCCAAGTACTGAGTAAACTAAAGGCAGCAAGCTGTAGATTTGACAGCCCCTGCATATTCCCTTTGCCTTAAATTAAGCTACATGCAGCAGTAACTTTGCTGCCTGGGGGTGTTGTTATGCCCGATCTCCCCTGCTGTTGGAGGGGCACTCTGCTGAGGATTTGGGGGTAACATATGGCCCTAAATTATAAACCCAGCCCAAGGATGAGGACTCACTGAAATGAATAAGAAGTCATAGATTTTTTAGCAGTGGCAGTGACTAACCATTGGAAGAAACTACCAGGGGAAGGGGTGGATGCTCCATTTCTTGATGTCTTCAGATCCAGGCTAGGTGTCCTGGAGGATGACACAAGGGCAGGAGCACTGGGTGAAATATGTGATAGAGAAAAGTCCGAGTAGATGATCCCCTTCCTTGGAGGTATATAAGAGGAGATTGGACAAACACCTGGCTGGGGTCATCTGACCCCCCAGCACTCTTTCCTGCCCAGGGTAGGGGGTTGAACTTGATGATCTAATAGGTCCCTTCTGACCTTAAAATCTATGATCTCCAGGGCCGTTCAAGCCTGAAGTGCTGTAAACCTAAGACCATAACTGAACAGGTACATTGGCCTTCTTCACATAGTGCGTTGAGGTTATCGGTTCATTCTGCCACTGTATCGTCACAAGCCATTGTCTGCTCCCATACAGCAGCATTTTCCCCCCTCTCTACATTCTTGCCATCGGGCCAGTTCTGCAGGCTTCAGATTGAGATCCATCTGTCCATCAGCTCAGTAAAAGCAGTCCTAGGAGACCACTTCTGGAGCCAGTGGAAGTGAGCAGCCTTCCTCAATCCAGAGTAGGTGTTTGGTGTCTTTGGGAAGGCTACGTGTTGTCTTATCAGCATTGCATCTTGTTTCAGTTTCACTGCAGCCGAGCAAGCTGTGGTCTCGTCCTTTCCTGGCACCTTGGGTTGTCAAGATGCGGTGGCCAGAGGAAGTACTCCTGTCCCCCCTCTGCGTCTCTCTGATCTCACCAGCCCTGGGGTCTGTGGCAGCTCTAGGGATGCAATTCTGATGCTCTCTGAAGTGGTTTGGCATGAAGGAGGGTGGCAGAAGGAACGAGCTTATGAGCTGGGAGAAAGCTTCCTTCCTTCGCATGCCCTCCGTCTATCCCTCCTTACCTCACTTCTTCCACGGTGCCCACACATGGTGAGTCAACAAGGACATGTTTTCTTGTAATTTTGCTACCAAGATGTCCACATCCCTGGAGCGAGTGACCACATGATCTTTCTGCTGTAACCCTCAGCCTTGACCCCTGCCCATTGCTGTCACCCTCTGCTGCTGAATTGTGGTGTACTCTCTGAGCAGCCTACAGCACAGTCCAGGTCTCCTCCCTTGAGCTGTGAGGGGGCTGCACACCCCTTGAAGGGCTGTACACAAACAATTTGTACCCCATTGTGTTGGAGATGAGTAATGCCAGGAAGGCTCTGCGTGTATTTCAGGGGAAGGCTTTGACGCAAGATGTTTCCCAGAACATGGGTTCGGTTGCCTAATGCTGCCACAAACAAACCCAACCAAAAATGTAGGGAATTCATTAAAGAGTTTATTGGCCTATTGTTAAAAGGATGCTGCTGTCAAGTAGATCAATTAAATAAATCAGTTTGCCTGTCTAAAACCACCTGAAGTTATTAAAATAGTATTCTACTCCCATGCCTTGCTGTTTGTATGTGTTTTACAAGGCTGGGCAGTGGCAGTGGGTTAGCTTGTTCTTCCTACTCCTTCATTTTTGTACTTTAGGTAGGTCTTGAAATGTTTGAATGGTTGATGCTGTGAGGAAACTCTTGTGTGGGTGTTTCCCCCCTCCCTTCTTCTTAATAAATTTGGCTTAATATAGGGAGACATTTCTGGTGGTCTTGGGGATGGGTGTGAGCCCGTGTTTGCCTAGCAGTTGCTGACCTGGGCATGACCGTTCTTGGGCCATCAGTATAGTCTCTTTAGGGTACCAGACTAGACGGACCTTTGCTCAGACTTGGCACGGTAGTTCTTGTGGCTGCTGTGGTGTAGCCTTCACTCAAGTGTATGTTTTACTCTCTCTTCTCTTCTTCTTCCTCACAGCATCATGCCAGTTTATCTGCCTGAGCAATAACTTCTGTCTAATTTCTTTTAGGGGTTGAAAACAGGCTTTTGAAATTTACTTTGTTCCTGCACGGCTTTGATTGCTTTTAATGCCATTTGTCTGTAAAAATTAAGATTAGTTTTATGTGCAGAGAGCCTGTGAAGCCACGGCTTTGTGGAGAGCTTGCCTCTGTGGTTCATAGATAAGTTGTGAGCTTGAGTGCCGTTCATCCCAGCTCGATCCCGAGGCAAGCATGCGCTCTCCATGTCCCTCTGGAGTTGGGTTGTTTCCTCCACGTCAAGGATGCTAGAAGTGCCCTGATCCCTTTGTGGCAGGCACTGCTCTCCCCACGCTGCTGGTTTACCATCAGTTTGGCTGCTACATGGGGGTCTTTTTTAGCAGTTGGCTTTGGCTTGAACGCAGAAATGGGTTAGGTGCCAGTCAAACCTATTTTGTACCTGGCATCCACCATTCTGTGGCTAGACTAAACTCTGTGATTCTGCGTGAGATCCTCTTAAAGATGCTGTGGGGTGCCATTCAGGGTTAGCTCTGTTGGGTGTACAAAGCCTTGCGTGTGATTCACAAGACAAACCTGGAGTTTTCAAATGGGAATTCACAGCATCAGAACCATGCTGACTTGTTGCAGCCTGGAAGACTTCTTTAATTATTTTTCTGTAGGGAATAAATGAATGAAAGCTAAAAGCTGGTGTTTTCCAAGGGTGGGGGGGTCTCTTGTCTAAAAGAGTTGAGAACCACTGGTCTAAAGGGCTGGCATGTTGTAAGGGGATAAAAACGGATGTTGCATTTGAGGTGGTTTTGATGGATCCCAGTTAAACCCTGGGACAAGCAGAGCAGCCCAGCCCTTTGCTTGTATAGCTTCTTCTTGGAAAGAATAACAATTAACTCAAATGAGCCCCAGTTGCCCTGGAAAAAGCATTAGAACATTTTATCTTGCATATCTCATCTGTACTTGGAGTGGGCTTGTACCTTTGTAGGATCCCGGACAAATGCTTTTCTCCTGGGAGAATTGTGATGTCTGTTTTTAGCCAGAGTCAGTTTACTGATGGCGGCCAACAAAGTTGTATGTCACAAAGAGTGACAGACCGCACATAAAATTTTAACTTTATCTCACATCTGTAACCCCCATGCATAGTGGGTTTTTTCCCCCCCGTCACTGGGTGTTGCAAATGTCAATACTGTCATGCTTTCTGGTGTCCTTGTAAAATCTGTCAAAATACTTTGTGAAGTCCAGCCATAGTTTATGGCCTTATTACATTGCATATGTATCTGTATAAGGGATTGGAGCTGTTTGATATGAAATGTTCACCTGGCAGAAGTGAGTACCAGATGTGACCATCTGCAGTCTCCAAGGTTATAATCCGACCCAGTGTGTGTAAGGGACATTTATGACATTGCATTGGGCTTGGAAATAAAGTCATTCAGCATAAAAAGTTGTCTGGCTAGAACAAGGTTTTTAAAGTCATATTTTGACTGACTTCCTCCAATGCCATATGTTGGAATAAACACTGGATAATTACTAATCATTTGTATCTTTGTACCAGCCCTAAATGCTTTATGCCTCTAAATAAAGTGTGTCTGCTCAGCAGCTCCCCTGTGCTCTGCAACGCTCCGCTCTCAGCAGGCAAGAAGTTGCTGGCATTTCCCAGGACACCTGCAAACCCAGAGCAGTGTCTGGCTATTCACGTAGATAAAAATATGCTTGCCCCGAAAGATAGAAAGCAAAAATTCTCCATGGGATTGCTCCTGCTTGGTGCCGTCTGTCAAGGGGGTCTATGAAACGCCCCGGGTGCATCTCTCCTCCGTTCTTAGCTTCATCTGTTAGCTAAAAGGCACTAGCAAAATATCGATCTCGAGATGCAGAGGTGGGTAACGGTCCGCTTTACTAGATGTGTTTGATGTGAGGAGTGTAGCCTTTTTCTTCCCCCCCCAACTGCATGTTTTCCTTTACGCAGTAGGCTAAAGACTGCAGCCAACGATTAGCTGCTTTACTCCGAGATATTTTATCTGCCATGATAGACCTTCAGAGCTGCAGCTGACAGCTCTGAAGATTTAAAGCACGTATGCCTAAAATATCTGTTATCTGGGACAGGTTAGCAGTGAAGATAACTAACTCTTATTTGGCTGTAATGCATTTATTAATGACAATAAAAGCTGCAGATGGAAAAGTGATGGGTATTGCTGAGCACCTCGGGGATTGAAATGATGTTAGGCTTGTAGGGCAGCGGCATGCTCTGGCTTTTGGAACTTGGCTGCTTCATTTCCAGGCACCTGTTGCCTGCCAGGTTGCTTTAATCAAGCGTTTGTCCCTCTACCCCCAAGTGCAAAACCAGGGAGGTGCCAGCCGGCTGGTCCCATGTAGTGTGCAGTGAGCCCATCTGACACTGCCCAGCTTCTTTGGCGAGTGTCTGCAGCGTGCCCATGCGGTTTTCCTCCACCCACCGCCCTTCCCAGAGAAGGTTGCAAAATGTGTGTTTACCCGAGGCACGCGACCTGCTCAGCTGCAATTATCTCCTAATCTGCTCCGTCCGAGTTTCTCCAGTCTCTCAGGTAAATACAGATTTAGCTGTTCTTCAAGGCATATTATTTACCTCATTAAGTGTGTATTTTGGCACCTGCGTTATTTACCTGATGGACTAGCGGGTACAAAAGAGCAAGTGCTGCCTGTTGTGCAAACAGCTGCTTTGCTCGTGGCGGGTCGTCCTCCAGTTTTGTGGGGGTTTTTTTGTTTTTTTTTTCTTTCTTTCTTTTTTGAGTGGGTTTTGTTGTGCCATGTAAATCCTAGCTTTGCTGCATATCTACCTTGGGGTGCTTCCTGCCTTCCGATGGGCACAGGAGATACCAGATGCCTGCCAGGGGAGGCCAGACTTAGCTTCAAGCACTGAGAAACTAAACTAGTGCAAAAGGTACAGCCCTCCTCCTGGGGCACAGAGGAAGTCTCTACTCTTGGAGCTGCCAGTGTCTGCTGCTGGTTCTTCAGGGTTGAGCTGATTTTGATGGGGTCATGTCTCATTGTGTGAATCACCCGGGGATTACTGGGAGTTGTGCATATGTATCACTACTACAGGCCTTTCCACAGGCATCGGCTGGTCTTGGGGTCCCCGTCTTCCCTGAGTCTCGAAGTAGTTTATGTGGCCTTCTCTAACCCAGGTGCAGATAAGCCCCTGTGGGGATGTGTGCTCTGTTGTCTGGAGCAGTGCCTCTGTTGTCTCGTGGCTCTTCATTCTGAGCTGGTTATAGAGGTTCCTTTCAAGTTGTCTGTGACTCCAAGCGATCTCTCAGATGCTCTCCAACGTACCTACCATGGGTTGCTATGTTATTTTGGAGTCCTCTACTAGGGAGCCCAGGCAACACCTCTTGGTGATGGGTTGGGTTGGAGAGGCAGCAGTAGAAGTCCGATGTGTGCATGCTTTAGTAACACCAGCTGCTTGTTCTCTTAAGTTTCAGATGCCTCTGGATGTTCAATGATAGCCCTCTTGCATACTGGAGCAGCACAGTTCCCCGCAAGCTTACGTCCAAGCCTGAGACTTCTGCACTCCTTCCTCCCGGTTGGCATTCTCAAGAAATCCGGTTCCACCACAAGCAGGAAACTGGCGTCCCACGGCTTCGGCGCTTCCATGGCAGCAATGTCATCCTTCCCCCCACAAAGATATCACTACTTTCTAGTGTTGGATTTTGAGGCCACGTGTGATAAACCACAGCTTCATCCTCAGGTAACCAGCCAGTCATTTATTCTTCCCCTGCAAGCTGCTGCCTCCACCTGGGGGAAGAAATGTGTCTCCTTATCCCCACAGAGAGCTCTGAGGTCCATCCCATCTTTCCCAGTTCTGTGCATACCGCTGTCCCTCAGTAGCTCCTGTCAACACAGGTGGTCTCTGAGGGGCAACCCAGAAGGTGTTTCTGCCTCTTGGAGCCTGTGCTGGAAGTGTGAACAAAACCCTGCACCTTGGCCTCCACCAAGGCAGTGAAAATGTGTTTGTCCAAAATGCTTTCCCTTTCTGAGGTTTCCAAATGCTTAGCAAGTCTCTGAGCTGGTGATGGAATGAGCTGGCCCTGGCTAGGAACCTGTGCTGTTAGCATGCTCAAGGTGGCTTTGCCTGTGTATGTAGGGGAAAAAACCACCCTTTTCTGTAAGGTTATGAAGGACACGTTCTGGATGTGAATAAACATGGTGCTGCTTGATGGAGTCAGCAGGGTTTTAAATGCAGCACCTCTGAAAGAGGTGAACCTCCCTTGGCTCATCTCAATGGAGTCTTAACAGTGAGGTCAGGTGGCGTTTGAGCCATTTGCAAGAGAAGCCTATGGCTACGGTGGGAGTTTGGGTGCCATTCTCAATGTTTTTTCCAGCTCCTCGCCCCTTGACACTAGCCTATGATTCGGACCCTTACATGGGCCATTCTGTAAATGGCTCTTTCCAAGAGAAGAGAGCCAGCATGGACTCTTGCACCGTTAGCAACATGGGCTCTTCTGTTTCCATCTCACTTCTACATAGGAGTCACCAGGGTGATAGCGAGCAGGCAGAACTGGTGTTTGAAAACTGCACCGAGATTTTTTGGATGCAGGAATCATGCCTTGAGCAGGTACAATGCTGACCTTGGCCATCAGTAGTGAGAGCCTCCAGTCCCGTGGTGCCGCTGGCAGCTTGTGTCCTCTGCACTCAAAGTGAAAGTGTTCACGAGGGGTCTTGTTGCTGAGAGCTGTTGTCAGCACCTGGTCCGTTTCCCCATGTGATTATGGTTTAAACTGGGATCTTGCCTCAGGCTAGATGATGTGAGGTGGACAGGTCAGTGTTGGGCTAAGCCGGCACCTTCTGTACCATGCCTGGATCAGCTTGGGGCTGGTAGTCCCTTGTGTCTGTGAAAACATTTTTCGCCTGAAAATTAAAGGAAAACTCCCTCCTGTGCCATGGGTCCTTTGCGGGAGGGGCTGTGGCTTTTGCATGGTCTTAACTGCCTTCCAAGTGCGATGTCAGGATATTCCTCGCACACCCAGCGGCGGGTGCACGGACCTGTCAAAGCTGTAAATTGGTTCTACCTTGTCCCTTTGGATATGGGCTTGGTCTGTGCACATTTTGATGCAAAACCATGATGCATGTGGAGCTGGTTTACAGCTGGCAGTAAAAGGGAGCATGAGTGGAATATGATTACTCCTGTTTTAAGAAGCTTTGTCCTCAAGTCCTTGCCATGGAAAGTAATGGTCTGGGCTAGTGCAGATCTGCTATATATCTTGCTGGCGAGGTGGAACCCTGAAGGTGGGGATGTTCTTCAGTTTTTTGTTTCTTTAGTCAGCCATGCTCGGGCCTCCTGACATCACGACTTTTGTGGCCAGTGCTGTCCTTCCCCAGAAACAAATTAGCTTGGAAACCAAAGAAAAGCCTGGAATTGGCATAGCCAATAAAGTTTAAAGAGATGGTGCTTGGAAAGATGGTCCTGTAAGAGTAAGATATTCCTGTTTGGTCTGCTCCTGCCTCCTCTGGTTCTTGACACACCAGTGCTTGTTCGCTACTGTTGGCTGTTTGGGTTGCCCATTGATCTTGAATGTTATCTGTGAAACAGTCAGCTGAGTTGTACTTGCAGGAGGGTGTAAGAGGCAGAAAGCTCGACTTTGGAGTCATAGACAGAGGACAGGGTTTGAAGCCAGGAACAGCCCTGTGAAAATCCTGCCTCTCGCACCCTCTTGAGCAAATCATTTAACTTCTCTGCCTCTCTGTTATCACCTGTAGAGTGGGGTTGTGGGGGTCCTGGGAATGGAGCTTCAATAGGAAGAACACTTTGCAGAGGGAGAAGGTGTAGACATGAAAAGTGGCACTCGGGCTGCTTGCTAGAGCTGGAGTTTTTGCAGCATGTTCAGCTGCATCAGGTCTCACTGAAAGGGCATGCAGTACCCCTTGACTTTCCAAGCACAGGCCTGTGTGTGGATTTTTTTGAGTGTATTTCTGGGTGGTGTTTTGTTTTTCTCATACTCCTGTACTAAGGCAGAGACTGGCAGCCAGATGGGGAAGTATGAGCAGAAAAGGGGCATATAGAGTGTCTGGGAGCCTTTTGACCAGCCAGCTCTCCAAAACTCAGTGTCTGTCTATTGATTCCAGTGGACCTCCTGGCCCCTAACAGCTTGCTTTTATTTTTTTAACTTCATTATTTCCTTTCTTCTTCCTTTCTTACCTGCTAAATGTATACAGGCTCAAACCTTTTGTAGCTCTTCCATATGTAGGTGTGTTGTGGGGCTGTGTGTGGCACTTCAGAGACACAAGAGGATATGAGTGCAGTAAGCAGATCTCTCAGTCTTATTCTTCCTTGGCTCATGTTTTGGATGCTTCCTTGGAGATTACAGGCCTTGCAGTGACACTGACTCTGTGAGAATCCCACCACAGCCAACATCATCTCTCTCTTAATGCATCTTGTCTTCGGTGTCAGCAGGGTGGACAGAAAAAAAGCACTGATTTCCTTTAACCCACAAAAAAAAAAATCCCCTCCAATATAGGATTTTTTTTTTAATTCAATTATTTTTTCTCTTTACAAATAAAAAATCACACTTTTTTTAAAAATAAAATTTAAAATGATAACTTATGTTAAAGCCTAAATTTACTATTATATATTAAAATACTTTAAATGAAAAGCCATAGTCAAGTTTGTATATGTTTGCCTTTGAACTTTACAAGAAAAAGTCAGGTTGCTGAAGGGGGAGTGACTTGCTTATCAGCTGGAATCTGAAATGGAGTTGCTCAGCTGGCTCTTTATAACAGTAGCCACTATTTTCTTCATTTTGGTGGGTAGATCAGTGGTTCCCCTGATGCACTGGTGACCCTGCTTCTGGTTGTGAGCCCCATTTCTGCACTTGAATATCCATTGGTTTCACAGCCCCACCCATCACTGGTGTTATCTCTTTTGGAGATAGTTTTGGAATCACTGGTCTAATTTATTCAATCACTGGTCTAATTTATTCAAACTTGAGGAACCAATTAGGAATTGTGAGAATCAGGAAAACTTATTTCCCCTGTCCAGTCTATAAATAAAAACGAGGTATGAGAGGATGAGATCTATTAGTCCCAAAATCTTGAAGGACGTGGCGACCAGACCCAATCAACTTAATCCGGTCAAGTGTTGTTAATACTTCCTTCTTTAATAAGTTGCCTCATTCTAAATGCAAAACATATTTTGAAAATGTTTCCTTTTTGGAACATTTTACAGTCTTTTGATATAATTAAAACAATGTTCTAGTGGCTTTTTAATTGAATCCTAGTTTCCATCCAAATTCAGCCTGCTGCAAATCATTTGTCAGAAATTAATAATTTAACAAATAAGAAATGTCCTTCACCACTTTCTAACGTTAAAATATGTAAAAATTAGGGCTTTGTGTAAATGGTGCACATTAAGCTAAATAATTACACACATGAAGACAGACTGTATATATACATATTTCTCATTAGCAAAAAGTACCACCGAATTGTAACCCCAAACGATTATATTCTTCCTTTTGTTAAAATAAAAAGTGCAAATGAAAAACAAGGTGAAAATTGATTTGGATCAAAGTTTCCTGCTTGCTCATTTAAATCATGATTAAAATTGGTTTGATTTAAATCAATCCATGTTGAATGTCAGACTTGGATTTCTTCCACCTCGGCCCAGGATGAAAACCTCATTCCACACAACCGCTCCCTCAGGAGAAGGCCTGAGAAAAAGATCAGCTTTACACAGTGCCCTGAAGGTCAACAGAGACTGGCTTTGTCAGTTTGGCAGGCAAGCCAATTCCAGAGCGGTTGCCTCCTCGTTAACAGTATCCAGCTCTTTTGCTAGGGCTGGTTCACAAATGTGCAGCCCCCGTCGCCCTCTGTTACTGCAGCGGAGCTCGGGGGTTTGGGAGCCCTAAGTTACCCGCATCCAAACCACATAAAGCTTTTTAAGTTGGATGCACCAGCATGGATTGCACCCTGGAAGTCCGTGCTGGCTGGGGAGAGTCCTCTAAGCATGGCGCACCCCTGTTTTGGAGCCCATCGGGTAGACATGCAGCTGAGCAGCTTCCAAGTACTCGTGGAGGAGCTCCACACAGACTGTTATAGTAATCCTAGCCGGAGGCTAGAAACGGAGTACGCTCGATTGGGAGCCTCTGCAATGCCGGCAATCCTGATCAAATGCAGATGGAAAGAGGTTTCATTGGCCCCTGCTCTACTATGCTTCTCCGCACAGCAAGCTCTCTCTTCAGCCTGTTTTTATCAATGGCTGCTGTGCTGCCTGCATTCAGGCAGATTTTTAATTGCTCAAAAGTCGAGAAGTTTGGGCTTGTTTCATGGGGAGACTTTAACCCCGTGCCTTCACGCAGTTTTGCTCCAATGGGGTATTAATATCACTTTACCTATCGCTGTGCAACTTAGGTTACACGTGTAGTTTAAACAAAGAGTTTCCAGTTCATCTTATTCCCTTGGTGTTACTACAGGAATGCTCTTAAAGATGCATGCGACCCAGTCACTCAGAGGCTTTGTCTTTGTTATGGAAGGAGAGGAAAACCCATGCATCGATCATCTCTTTTCACCAACCGCACAGTTTACTTTGTGCACTTTGTTTAACGAAACTAGACTTGCTTTCCCATCTTTTGTTCTCAGCCTCTTTGAGTTTCCAGAACAGCAGGGGATAGTTCATGTTAAAAAGGTTTTACTTGTTTTCTTTTTTACCCTAAAGGTTTTGTAAAAATCCTTTTAAGAAAACAAAGCTTCAGGGCC